TATTGCAGGTTATTGGTTTTAACAAAATTGGTTTTGAGAAGGCCAACAGTATTTTTATTTTCGTTCCTGGTTTCTAGTGCAACTGCATTGCGCAGCTACCTTATTAGATATACTAGCAGTTAAAGCTAAAATTAAAAAATAAATTCAATAAATTTGATAATTTAATAATTAATTTAGTAATATGTAATAAAATTAATAATTTTATAGATATAAGACAATTTATAGAGATTAATACTATATTACTTTTAAGATACGATTTAATAATAATATAATTTGTAATATTAGAATAAAGATAACTATCTTATTAAAAAAAATATTAAAATTAGCATTTAAAATTACAAATCACAATACTTTAAAAGCTTTAAATTTAATTAAAATATTTTTTTTATAGCAATCTAATAATTTTATAGCTACTAACAATAATAAAAATACTATTTATAAGTTAAAAAAGAAGTTTTAAAATATTCTGCTTTTTAAAAAATTAGATTATTATTACTAAATTTTTTTGCAATAAAATCTAAATAATTTTAGTTTTTTTTGTATGTTTTAAGAATTTTCTAGCCTTATATTTAATTTTTATAGTTTTAAATAAAAAATTTTAAGATTTTTTTTAATAATTTTTTTGTTTTATTAATTGTAACAGATTAAAATAAAATCTAATCAAAATAATTTTTTTTATGTTTTAAAAAAAAATAAAATTTTTTAGAAGATATTTTTTAAGTTTTTTTAATATTAAGATTAGAGGTTAAAGTAAGAATTATTAATAAACAAAATATATATAGTTTTATAAGCTTTAAAGGAAAGCAAAAAAGAGTTATTATTTTATTTTAATTGGATTTTATTTTAATTTGCAATATTAATTATTATTTAATACATTATTCTTAAACATAAATTTAGTATAAGATAAAATATTGTTTATTAGTTATAATAATTTACAAATAAAAGAAAAAATAATTTGAAATTATATTATTAATTGAAAAATTGCACAAAATTTAAAAATAATTAAGTACTCAAAAATTGTTTATCTTTTATTAAAAATAATATAAAATAAAATTTATTTCTCTATATAATACATTACTAATGCTTGTGGCAAATAGAATTGATCATATTTAGATTTAATTTGAAAGATAGAGATATTATAGAATTGTATAATATCAAAGTATGCTATAATTTTAGCAAGAATATATAGGTTTGTTATTTTTAAAAAAGTATTTTGAAGGACATTTTTAAGATTAGTATTAGTAATTTTATCATTTTTAAAGGCAATAAGTAAAAAGTGTTTAAGGTAAATATAATAGAAAAAGAATTAATGTTTGGGGTTAGTAATAGTATTGTTAAGTTGTATAAATTTTTGTTTAATTATTTGGGCTAGTTCTTTAAAAGATTTATAAGAAAAAGGTTTTGTAAAAGTTGCAGCTAGTGGTTGGTTTGATTGAAAAATAAAAAATCTAAATAGGAGTAGATAGGATTAGAAAGGAGTTATAAAAATAGAAAGAGATTAAGTTGCAGAAAGTATGTAAAATATTGTTAGGAATAATATTACATGTATTGTTTATATATGTATAGATATAGTAAAGTGATGTTTTAATAGATGCAGATGTTCTTTTATATAGTAAGTTAATAGTAAGAAATTGATAAGAGTCTGAGAGTAATTTTTTAAGTTCAGTATTAAGATAAGAATTATTTGAAATTTGAAAAAGTTATAAGTTTTTTGTTCATTAATATATGAAAATTGTTTTTTTGTAGGAGTTAAAGAAATTTGTGAACCATTTGTCAAGTGGTGTACAGTATATTTTAAAAAAGGGGATATAAAAAGTTTGTAAAAAATTTTGTGCAAAAATTTTGAATATAATATAAATATTGTATTTGAAATTATTTTTGATTTTAAGAGAAAGTTGGTTGTTATTATTAAATATAGTATTAAAATATAGTATCATCCAAATTATATATGGCAATGAAATTATTTTAGGTTTTGGGGTACGAAATTAAAATTTGAAGAAAAATTGTTTTTGACTTATTTTACTTAAATAGCAAAATTTTTTGACACTTTTTTTTGAAGAGACGAAATTATAAAAAACATAACTACTTAAATTAGATTTGCTATTGTATATAAAAAATTTCAAATTGCTCTAATGAAGACGAAATAGGAGTTTTTTGAAAACCTATTTCGGTGGCATGTATAATTTGAATAGGTTTAAGATCTAGGTCATTAAAGAATTTGATATAGTTAATAGTTTTATATTGATTTTGAAGGAAGAGGTGTAAACAAGCAAGGTTAATAGTGATTTGAAAGTATTTAGAGATAGAATGTGATGGTGAAAAGTAATGGAAAGTAAAAAATTTTTTTATAGTTTAATTTTATAAAGAGAGCAGTAATAAAGTTAAGTAAAATATCTTTGAGAGTAAATAGTAAATAGTTAGAGGATATATTAATATAATATATATTTGATCTGTTTTGATAAATAAAGTCTATAACAAATTGTGATTGTTAAAAAGTCATATTTTATAGAAGATTATTAGAATTGCTTTTAATACTGTATTAGTTAGTTGTTTCTGTTTAAATAATTTTGCCAGAATAGAAATTTTGAAGGAATAGTTTAATAAAGTCAAGTATTTGTGTATCTAATGGTGTTGAAAATCAGTGTTGACTTTTAGCCTCTTTGTCAATAGAAAATGCTGAGAACCAGTTCAAGAAATTGTCAATAATAAGCTGGTAGAAGAAAATCTTTGTTAAGATATGTTTTTAGTTGGATTTAATAAGTGAGTTTTTAAGTATTTTGTTAATTTAATCAGTAAATATTAGAGTATATGTGAATTTATTTAAGAAATAAGTTTGCTTTAAAACACCAAAAAAGATTTTCTAAGTTAGTTTTTAAGTTAAAATTAATATATTTGTATCTATAGGTTACAAATATATTTTTGTAATCAGATAACAATGATTAATGATTTACTAATTCAAATTCATTACTTATGCAGTATACCTAATATTGGGATTATACAATTGATTTTTCAAATCTAAAATGTTGGTAATAATGCAAGATTAAATTTGACATTCATTGTTGGCCTAGTTTGTATAAGATGTAATTACTCTGTATTTGAATAAATAAGAGGTGTGATTGAAAAAATGATCAAAATTTTCTTTCTTTTACTTAAGCAATAACGCAATAAGAGTTACTTTTGTAAGTGCAAGGCAAAGATAATATTTGGATGATTAAGAATTGTAAAGTGAATAACTTGAAGAATATTAAAGCTATACATACGAACAAGTGAATATCAGATGACTTGTTTGCAAATTTTCTTATAAGGTTTGGTTTGTTTTTGACTAGCATAATAACTCAAAAAAAAAACTAGCGACTTAGCAAATTGCTTGTGAAAGAATAATATCAAATAAAGTTAATGTGACACATACTGATCAAGCAATATCAGGTAACTAGTACTATTTGTAGAATTTTTTTAACTAACCTTGCTTCTAATAAATGTGTTAGAAACTATTACTAATTATCTTCTTTTTTCACTTAGAATAATAACATAATAAGAATTTTAGCAAACCACTTGTAGAAGAATAGTTTTTGTTACATAAAATTGAGTTAGTGAAATATGAAGAAATAAATAAAGTTGAAGCAAGTACTGAAGAAATACATACCAAAAAGCAAGTATTAAGAGACTGATGCTATTTTTAATATATTAATTTGATATTTTTTCTTTCACTTGGTGTAATAATTAATAAAACCTTGACAGGTTATGGTATTATTGAAAGACTAAATAAGTATAGTTGAAGCAGGTATTAATGATATCAAATGACTGATATTGTAATTTTTTTTTAATATAGCATTATCACTAACAGATATGATCAAAATCATGACAACTTTTTCTATTCACTTAGTTGTAATTTAATAATCTAATAAGAGATTGAAAGTTGTGTAAAGAATACACAGTAGTTAACAATAAATTTCTTTTGTATAGTTTTTGTCTCTAATGACTAATCTACTTATTTGTGAATTACAGATTGTTTATTTTGATTTTAAAAATTAAATTACTAGAACCATTAATATTATGTCTACAACCTTTTTATGATTAGTATGTATAAAATTCCAGAACTGTTTCTACCTGATAGCTCATCAACTTACAATTATTCTCTGCAAGTATCTCAACATTTGCAACAATTATCATTGAATCATTAAGAATCTTCATTAAGTAAACATATGCAACAATTGTTATTGAATCATCTAGAATCTTTGTTAAGTGACAACTATTCTCAGCAAGTATCTTAATATATACAACAATTTTCATTGAACTATCTGAAATCTTCATTAAGTAAAAATATTTTTACATCTGATTTACAAAGCTTTCTTGATAATTCCATACAACAGCAAAATTTATTTATATCTGATGTGCAGACTATAGATACCATAAGAAATAATGTGTTTTATGTTAGTATTTCTAAGACAAATATAAATAGTAATCACCTTAAAATTGTTTTCGGTTCAGTATTTTATAGTTAGAAGCAGCTTGATCATCATGTTTGAGTATATGCGAAACAAAATGGCTTTGTATCAATCATTTTTGTATCTAAATCTGATAATATTATATATAGAAGATGCCAATATGCTTGTGAACACCAAGGCAAAGGCCATTCAAAAAAACTGTTATCTTAGAACAACAAAAACAATCTTATACTAAACGGTTAGGCTGTAAATAGTTAGTCAATGCAAGCTGCCTGAAGATGACTGGAATAATCAAAATTACTTTCTGTTATCTTGAACATAATAATCATAAAATTTATCTTGACACTATCATATTTGCTCCCAACTATCGACAATTTCCTGATGAAGCAAAGGAAGATATTAAGTATTATACTTCTAAAGGTCTAAACATGTATATGCAACTTTCTATACTTGAAGATAAATATCTTGGAATCTTTTTCTTATCACAAGACTTATTTCTTACCATTCAATCATTCAAGCAACATAATAAAGTTGATAATGAAGCCTTTATTCTCTTAGAAAAGCTTCTTAATAATAAAGCTCAAGATCTGAATTAGGTTGTTTATTAGTATCTGGATTCTATTTTCAACTCTTTAGAGTCACTTTTATAGATAGAACCTATTCAAGTTAATACTTTGATTCGTTATCATGATATTATCTTAAATAATAATACATATAGTACTAATCGTTTTAATATAGTATTTAGTTTTTTGATGTCAGATATTTATTGATAAGAAGTTTTTATTCAGATTCAAATTTCTGTTTAGATAAACTATTATGCATCTTATACCAGTCTTTGATAGAATTATTCTACTCTGATCCAAGTTTGCTTTTCAAATTTTTTGGAAGATTCTGGCTAATATGGAATATATAATTCATTTTATAAGTTTCGGGCATTATATTTTCAATAGCTGCTTCATTTGCAATATCAGAATCTGTAACAAAAATATATAGCTAGTATCCAGTAAACTTCAAAATCTTTGAGACATGCCATTTATTATGTAATTTTTACTATGGATACATGGTCTAGCTGAGTACTAGTTGAGTGATCACATTACACATATATATAATATATAATATATAATCAAATATA